ATTTTTTTTTTTTTCGTCCTTATCATCTTTACTAAAAATGGTTTAGTATATACCTGTAATTTAGGAAGATTTTGTAAATCGATTTTATTCTTGCACTATACAACAGGAATTGACTAAATGAAGCGTGGCTTAGAGATTTTGCATACCTGTTAAGTATTGTTAATATCGTACGTATGTACGTACGTGATTGTTAATATTTTCCAATGTATCTGAAATGTGTGGATGAATGGAACTAACTAAATGAGGTAATAAGAGTGTACGTTTATCTCCCCACAAATATGGTAATAAATTTGAGCGAATGAATTTCTTAATACGTGAACAATATCTTCGCCGAATCTCGTCAAAAAGACCTTAACTTGATCTGCTTAAATCTCTCCGCTAAAGATTGTTAAGGAATAATATTTGTATTGTATTATAAAATTTTGTGATTACGTCAAAATCTTGATAATAATGTTATCTTGTACGATCTTGATTTAATAGTATCTGTTAAGATCTGTCTTGCCAAATTAGTTAATCGAACTGAAGATTTGTTGCTACACAAAATAAGGTAATATTATGAGCGAAGATATTTCTTAATACGTAAATAATATCTTCATATATTGTTATCAAAAATACTGTTAACTTGCGTGGCTTAGAGAGTTTGCCGTCACAATATACTTATTAAGTATTGTTAATATCGTATGTATGTACGTGCGTACGTAATTGTTAATATTTTCTAATGTATCTGAAATTTGTGGATAAATGGATCTAACTAAATGAGGTAATAAGAGTGTACGTTTATCGCCGCACAAATATGGTAATAAATTTGAGCGAAGGAATTTCTTAATACGTGAACAATATCTTCGCCGAATCTCGTCAAAAAGACCTTAACTTGATCTGTTTAAATCTCTCCGCTAAAGATTGTTGAGGAATAATATTTGTATTGTATTATAAAATTTTGTGATTTCGTCAAAATCTTGATAATAATGCTATCTTGTACGATCTTGATTTAATAGTATCTGTTAAGATCTGTCTTGCCAAATTAGTTAATCGAACTGAAAATTTATTAGGTAATATTATGAGCACAGATATTTCTTAATACGTAAATAATATCTTCATATATTGTTATCAAAAATACTGTTAACTTGGTCTGCTTATTGAAATAATATTTGGTATTGTGCGATAACATCTTAGGATTATCGTTAAAGCCTTGAAGATAATGCTTTATTGTACAATCTTGTTCTAAAAATATACATGTGATTCCTATAATAATGTATGTTTTATATAAGATATTTAATTTGATTTTTTTTATATAAAGGTGGAACTAACGACGAAATAATTTATTGTTCTTGTCATAATAATTTTCATATCATTACCAAATTAAAAATCCATATTCAAAAAAATGCCTTCTCACGTTGCACTTGTTGTTGTCATTATTACTGTAAAAAACAGTCGCTTTTGCTCCCAGGGTCTTGCCAAGTACATTTATTCCAAAAACGTGTCTCAAACGATTAAGTGGAAGTACTTCTTACCTACTGATGAAGAGCCTCAAACATTCATGGCTGGTGACCTTGTTTTTATTTCCGGCAAATACGTTGTCGAAAATTCTGAACAATACGTTACTGTTGCGTACGCCAGTGTTCTCGACGCTGGAAACCCTAACCGTGAATTTGATACTTCTGGTGTTCCTTTATGCGTACCACACTGTATGTTTTCCGTGATTGTAAATCGCCAACCAAAAAAGACTGAAGACTTTATTCATTTCGGCATAGAGTGTGTCGAATATAATTCGGTCACTAGTACGCCTAATGTCAAAATGCAAATAACTGTCCTTTATTCCTCTCAGTCTGCAAGGTTTAACAAATATTTAGGCCCTTTAGGGTCTAATATTAAATTAAATAATACCTATTTAGTATCAGGCTTTTTTAAATTCTCAACGTCAGGGAAAATGATGCTTGAGGCAACTGATATTGATTATATAAAAGTATCGGATATTAATTACATCAAAAGTGAAATTACATCTTCATCAACATCAAATACTTGGTCAATCATTGATATTATTGCCGAAGATATTGAACCTATTAATTCGTCAAATAAACAAGACTTTAATACAACTCCCGAATCTTCCAATACTTTAACAGACAATATTGATGATGACATGATCCTGTGAAAGAAAAAAACCTTATAGTCAAGTAGATCATATCGATTTAGACGAGCAAGCTGAAGAAAGTGAAAAACAAACGGAGCATGAAGAAAATATAAATTCACAAGATGATAGTGAGGATCAAGAAGAAAACTTTCAACCTAAAAAAAGAAAAAAAAGTACCAGAAGTACGAAAGGAAAAAAAAAGTTAGATAAAACGTATAGATATTCAGTTACGAATTATATGTTTATATAAAAAAATTATTTTTATACATTTAATAAAATCTTAATATGTACACTTATAAAATACATACCTTTAAATGCGTACTCAAATCCTGGTCCAATTACATAATTGAGCTCTGCAAAAAATACACACTTACTTAATGATTATAAATGCACATTGTTAAAGGTTGGTCCCAAGAACTTGCACATATCAAGCTTACTGTAGTTTCAAAAAAAAAAAAGTTATAGATTTTCCTTAATATTTATTATTTTCCCGTTTCGTTGTTCGCCATTAATATTACTCTCGTGAATTTTTTAAATTTTCCTGCCCGATCATTGAATAGAAAAAGTAATAATAGTAATAAGATGAATATTCTATTTATATAGAAATCATGAATCAATTAGAGTTGAGATTACGTCACCTTATTGTAAGAAGCATATTAAATCATAGCCACGTGTTCGCTAAAAAATGGTTAGTCTTCTTAAGGATTAAGCCCAATATTCTAACCCGCTGCACCAATAGAATAATATAATAGTGTTAGTAATATTGAGCCCAGAATACTGTTCGATCATGTACCTAACTTTACAACTGCACCCTATAGCACAAGCCTATTAAATTTTATTAAAGCTATTAATGTTAATAGTCCTAAGAACGCTATAATCTATATTAAATCTTTTATTTCTATTGAAGTTTTAGCATTTCTATTATTGCTATTATATATCAGCTTTATATAGCCAATATAATTGCCAAATGCATTTATACATACCAGGCGAAAAATAATGCGATTATGATCATGACTTTAATCCAAAATAGTTATATAGATAAACAATCTAGTATATATAATATTGATTTATTAGTAATAATACCTGTTGATGTTATACATAGATAAAATAAATTAATTTTGTTAGCTAAGCATATTTGTACCGGAGCAGGAAATAAACTTGATGTAAATGCGGCTATAATTAATAAATACCTGGTGGTGATGTTGAATAATCCAAAAAAGTTAAGACCAAAAATGAAACAATTTATTATTACTTTACACGTATCTATACGCATTTGTACCTGGCGCAAAAAATAGCTTGACGTGAATGTACTGATTTAGAAATACCTGTAGACAAAATTGAATAATCCAAAATAGTATAGACGATTGAATTAATATCTCGGGCAATAACGAAACATGAATAATATGTATTGAACAAAAATAGTATATCTTAATTAACGCTCGAACCATATCAGAAAATATAAATTTGAAACATAAATTACCTAATATGTTCGAATTTAACCTGTCTTTATAATTCGTATGTTTTTTTATAAACTATACAAATGATCTACAAAGTGCAAGGTATAAAACGATCTGATTAAAGTCAAAAAAAATATTAATTTTATGTTCGAAAGTTTCCCGTTTAAGAATAATTTCTTTAATACTATCGTATACAAAATTATTTTATCAAAAATCACATTATGGTAATTATTGAGACCAGTGGAGAAGCAAAAAAAAGAAAGATGAGTGAACAAATAACATCTCGACGTAAAGATCCTCAGTTTCGAAAAATTCAATACACTAATAAAAAAAACAAAAAAATTTAATCTCGACTTGCGAGAGATCGACAATCAACTAACTTAGGTATTCCTTTACGCGTCTTGGAAATGAATGAAGCTTTCAAAAATCTTACTCAACATTATGCCGCATGGCCTCAACCGGCTGAAGATAAAATAGCTAAAGATACTTTAGCTGAATTTCGAGATAAAATTCATCTTAATAATCTACGTGAATTACCATGTGCTGTTTGTTCAGGGCTTTACGTTCACAAAGACTGGAAGGAAATTTCTGTGCAAGAAATTGATCTCTCTTTAATCAAAGCTCCATTAGAACTTACTGCTCCAGCGTTCGAAATAAATTTCAATTACAATCATCCTTATATT